CCTCATAACAATGTTATCTCAGGAGATTCATCGAAACCAAGTTTATCTTCGTATCTACAATGGGAAAAAGTAATATTTTATTTTATGAAAAGAAATTAAAAAGAGGCCAAAGATGAACAATCGGAAACCAATAGATGACGTCTACAGCAAGCCTATTCAACTCAAGTAGGACTATCATATTTGAGTGTCGGCACGCAAAATACTTGATCATAAGCAAGTCAGATTTGGCATTAGGGATATAAGAGCGAGAGAAACGGTGGCGACCTTGTTTTCGCAACTTGTTCGGAACGTCAGGAGATGTACCCAGCCAATTGTCAAATACCGGAAATCTGGAATACTATGGCAGAGAACAAGAGACTATGTAGATTCTACAAGGTCTCTGATGCTCCGATCAAGTTGCGAAAATCAGGTCGAACTAACACAATTAGTAGATACATTTGATCATACACTTGGTTCATGAATTAAAGACTTGACCACAGGATTTGCTCGGTACTATTGCTTCAATGTGATAAGATCATCTGCATCGTCAAGTTGGGTTGTTCTGCCAATTGAGAATCCAGACTTTAGGGGCCTGATCAGTGAGGCTGGTGTATACATGCACGAATAAAGTGGCAGCGGTGGAGTGAAATCACTGAAACAGGCAGATAAGGGAAGGATCCTACGGAGCCTAGAGAGGACTTTAATAGAAACCCGAATGCAGAAGCTTGCGGCCTTAGATCAACAACTCCGGCACAGTATGAGGGATGTTGAAATCAGCGGGAAGTGTGAATAGGTTTTAAATAGGTTTTGTTAAACAAGTAAGACATTGTGATATTGAAAGGGTAATACGAGAATATAGGATATATGAATAGCCCAGGACAGAAGGAGAGATACGACAACTGTTTAGCAACCAATTTGTCAAATGATCGTCTGCTGTCTGATGCTGGGAATCGTGAAAAGTACTATGACAGACGACTTTGGACTAGATATGTTCTACTAAGTCCCCCTGATAACAAGACCAAACTGCGATAACCAGGTCAATCCACTAATGTAGAGTTAGGTTGTACTCTGATCTCGTTTTCGCAACTTGGTCGTTTTGTCAGGGCGACTTAGTCGATCGCACCTTGTCTTAAGTGCTCTGCTAAAGCAGTTATCATATTTCCAAGAGTTAGATCGTGGTCTTAGTACATTTTTAGACGTTTCGTCTGCATCATCAGTGAGCCTCACCATTCTCAGCACCAATCCACAACTTGTCAAAGAGATATGTGAAGTCAATCCCTTGACGACGTCTGAGAACGTGTCAAGTCCTTGATTAAACCCATGGAAATATGATAACGACTATATCAGAAGAATTCAGACAAGTTGTGTCTAACTAAGTCGCCTTGATAACACGACAAAGTTGCGAAAACGAGTTCACCACATCTATACATCAAAAAGAAGACTGCCGCCAAAATAGAGGCCACAACCTCATGCTTTTCCTAGCTCTGTAGAGTCAAGTTAATTACTTTATCCAATTTTTAATTAGAAGCTAATGTTGAACTTCTGAGTAGATGGTTGAACCTTGCTTTTCAGTCGAAATAAATCATACTATTGGAGACAATTACCTTAAGGTACTACAATTTTAAACTCTGTGTTTCTTAGTAGTGTGGCTGCTGGATAGAAATCCTTCGAATAAAGAATTATAAAGGCGTATATATTTTTTACGACATGCTAAATATCAGTTTTTATTTAACTAAATATAATACAAAATCAATAATTAATATAAATGAGCCTATACAAAAGTGAGTGTTAAAAATGTTTTCAGAGATATCTCATTTTGGAGAGACCTGTCTTCTCATTTGTGTTACACTAGTCCCAATAAAACTAAGTGACAGTAGGGCAAATAGAATCCGCTGTCTAGTGGTCTGATCGACCTTCGCATCTCTTCACCTCATACTTTGAATTGAGATGCCGATTGTTGACTTTTTAAATGGCACCAAAGGTTTTATTCTGATAAAGTGCCCATTGCTTTGGAAAGCTGCAAACTAATATAACGCGATTCCGGTGATTTTAAATGCTTTTCACAATTAAGGCTTCATTCTATATCGTAACCTCTTAATAGCCGAATGCTTTTATAATTTTTTTATAGTTGTATTACTTTATTTGTTCACTATAATTTTATTGTAGATATTTCAAGAGGCACGCGTCTGTATTGAGAAGTGTCACCTTCCTACTCCTGGCCTTAGTCCTGAATCAATTCGATCCACTCTTTCTCCTCCACTCTTATCTTCATCTTCTCAGAACTTATCAGGATTTGATATCTGCAACAATTCTGTTGTCGAAAGTAAAGAACATCACAAGCATTCATTACTCTCAAAGGATTCTCTCCCGAAATCACCACTTCAGATTTCAGAAAAACACTTCAAGCGAACATGGGACAATTCTCATTCGAACCCTGCTTTCCCCTCGGTTTCCACTTCACAAACTTGTTTAAATCATAGTCCAGTTTCCTTACCTGCCCCTTCATTTGAAGCAAAAGCTACCACTTTGTCAATCGAAACAAGCCTTCCGAACACTACTCTCGAGACAGACCGCCAATCGGTATCACCAGGCGGAAAGTCAACACAAGTTCAACAAGTATGTTTCTTCATTATTTCTTTATTAGTGTCAAAATGTGATTTTATTTAATTATATAAGGTATATTCATCCTACTTCGTTAAGGAGATGAAGGAGTAGTTGTTAAATTTTCCCACTGCTCCGAGTAAGCCTTACATTTTATTGGAATTTTACTGCCTTGTTTCTCAAGAGATATTCTCGTCAAAGGGGGGCTGCAATTTCGACCTTTACTAGGTCTCATCATTATCCCATACGGTACTCTAACCGTGACAGCGCTATATATAATCCAGACACTTTAACCACTTGCCACATTGTCATGTGTCCCTTTAGTCACGGAGTAGAAGTTAATTTAAATGAGCAAAATGAATTTTTCCTGTCACCTGTAGTAGGATTGTTGATGAAGAAAAGTCGTATTTGCTATAGCAATCGACTACGCTACCTATCTCTTGCTTATATTTAGGATTTTGAGACTATCAGTAGATAACATTAAATAGATTTATACACCCTATTGCCTTATCGTGATGAATGCCGGTATCCCTCTTAAATTATTGTATTTTGCTTATGTTTTTTAGATAGGGCATTCCTTGAAGCCCATTCGTTTTACGTAGTTTGTCCCATTTACTTATCACCGCTAATTTTTCGTATCTTATAGTTTTGGCACTTGTGCACTTCCTTTTTATACCTTCCTTCTAGCTTCAGGGCCTCGTCTTCATGCCGAAGAGACAGAGACGAACTTCCGATTCTTCTACGGACACTGTGGTTTCAATTTCAACATCGTCCGCTTCCTCTGGCAGTGTTGTCTGGGTTCCAGTCACTCGATCTGATTTGGTTAATCAACAGAGCCTTACTAAAATTGACTCTAGTAACAGTCATCAAGAGGCAAATGACGAGGCCAGACGTGAAAAAAGAAGGAAGAAAAGAAAGGAGCGTAAAATGCGCAGAAAGACTAAGAAATTAAAACGATTAAGGAGGATGATGATGCAAAAGCCATTCGATCCGGTCTCTCTTTCGCATGTTGCTTGTCACCCTAATGTATATTTAGAATTAAAGACTAGAAAGCCATTAAAATTGAATAGTCTGGAACAAGAAAGGCATCGGTCTAGCTCAAAGCTTGATCGTGTAAAGAAGAAAAAGAAAAAGCCAGTTGATCCTCTCAACCACAATTCTTCTATCTACTTCCATACCTCGACTTATAATTTCCCCCAAATGGCTCACGCAAGATCCCGTGCTCCTTACTGATAAGCTTGTTTTTTAAGCTGCGCATACATCCTCAAACGAGCCTTGGTGATATGGCTTATAGGCCTAGTCTGAATCTTCTTTGGTATCCCGAAAAATTTGAATCGGCCTTATGTGTTTCACATAAATGCACTTCAATTAGCTGTATTATTTTTATCTTTATAATTCTATCTAATTCCTGCTTGCATATAATATGCATGCAGCTTGATCTCTTTCTCTGGCGTTAGATATCTCTTCATTTTTTCTATTTATGATTCTTTTGACCCACGTTAATTTCTCTTCCCAACTCTACATTGGGTCGCATGGCTGTTTCTGGCGCCAAATAATTGGACTTTATGTGGCGGGTGCATCTATTTGTAGCTCTTCCTGACCTTTCCCTAGCTCATTCAAAGATGTTCCGATCGCTCTATTTCCGTTTCATATCCATATGCATATACAGCTGAAAAATCTGCAAGATCCCTTCTTTGGTTGCAGCCCTAATTTCACCTTTTTATGCTACAGCGGAATTATTTTGCCACTCCCGACAGAATACTGATGTATTTTCCCCCTGATTTCTTACCATTCAAAGATACCTAATCGTCCCTAGTCATCACTATTTGCTTCCGTTCTTCCAAGATGCGTCAAAACTGGCTTGATGTTTAACGTTGCTTCGTATTGGTTTTTTCCTAGAATGAAAAGCGCTTGCTACATACAGGATGGTTTATTAAATTTTGTTTTGCTTTAAAATTTATGAATGTATCTTTTGACCATATTTCAAGCATATTTGGTTATTCTAATATTATAATTAAAATATATTTACAGCCTGTATATTGCATTTCAACAGGAATAAATAAGCCGTCTGGACAATTCCAATTGGTAGATATTATTCTTTCCGATTTTTATCTTTTCACTTACAAATTTGATGATTGGGGGTTTTAGGCCTTTGGATTCGGGATGACTGCTGGGATGCTATCCTTTATGTCAATATTTGCAATCCAAACCTACATTGTACATATTATTGTTAAACTTACATTCTTACCTCATCAAATCTTTGTTTCCGGGGAAATCGCCAGTCCTCTATAAACCCACTTCCTTCCTGGCATAAACTCATTTGGTCGATGCTGCATATCTCTTAACGTATAGAAGCTTGATTCTCACATGTTCCCTAGTTATTGCATCTGATCTATCAGCTTTGTTCATTTGTAAGATGCACTTAGGGAGGCATAGCTCACAATTTCAAAAACAGCCAAACATGCCCTTTCTTGTCACATTTAAAATTTCAACTCTTGTTTGCTTATCCTTCCTTGTCTATTCACCTGAGTTCTCTTACTCATTTCCACTTTCTGTATCTTCCATTTAATTTAACTGATTGACAAATTCAAATAATTTTATTTTAAACTTTCTTTTTTATTTTACCAGAAGAATATATTAAAAGCTATAAGATAGCTTTCTGATATCTTAACTTGACCCCGGATTTTCGAGTAAATAGCGCTTGCCCTATTGCTTTATGAGTCAGAGAATTTTATTTTGCTACATTGCTTCACTTTAACATTTAAATTTTCTTGCGATAAAGGCACAAATGCTTTCTAGATTGAAATTGTAATATCGGTTTTCGCCGTCTACTAGGTCAATTATTGTAGACTTCTTTATGGATGAACTTATTTCAAACTTTTATTTTGGGATAAACCTGCAGGCCCATAAATTAGAGGTTATCTAGCTAGAAAACATCAAGCAAGGGTTTGTGGGTCTAAAAATCGGAATTGGCCGAACACATGGCGTGCAAAGGACACCAAATAGACTGGACTAGTGCCAAACGCTTAAATGGATATGGAGAATAGACCAGTTGTTACATTGTCTAATGTCTGCATCGATTTTTCCTCATTGTCTTATCCCTGTTTACTATCGCTTCCTCCTTTGTCTCTTAATATTAATTGGTTATTTGCCTAAATCTTCCTAATAATAGTACTATCTTATTTTTATATAGTACTTCTACATGACCATCAATTAGGGGGGAAGTTTGTAATTCAATTTCACTTATAATATCCTCTGGGAAACTATTTGTTAAACTTATCAATTTTACCAAGATTTCACTCTTAAAATCTTAAGCATTCTGAAATGAAAAGTTAGAGTCTTCTGACAGGATCTTCTCAGTAGAAATGTCCAATGAAATTTTGTACAGATTTACCATTTTGTATCGGCTTTCCCTCCTATTCATATAATTAGATATGGATAGTTTCATTCATCTGATAGTTATACACAGATCATAATTTTTTATCATATTTCTTGCTCACCTGCCGAATAAATGTGGCATATAACTGATCTGT